TCGCCTTTCTAGTTCACAGTATCATTTTATAGATTATTACACAACCTCTTCCAACTGTATTGTAATATTGTACACTACTTAAGTGATTCAGCTCAACTCTATTATGCGATAATAACCCGTTGTTTGTACGATATATGTAGTATATGAAGGTGCAGCCTTGGAAAGTGGCATTGTCGAAAGAAATTTGAATGATCTGTTCACTTCTTTATGACTAAACGATTAACGTTCTTTCACAACCTCCCTTATCTCGGTGATAAAAATGTTGTTGTTGAAAAATATATACCTTTAAGATATCTAATTATTCACGTAATATTTTCCATTTTTCACAAGACTATAAACAATCAGAAGAATACTCTATTTGAAGAAGGATCTTGTAATGTGCATTTTTCGATCCTAACAATGGCTGGACAAAGTTATCCGCAGGGTTAAAACCAACTTCTTACAAGTAGTGCATGTAAACATCTACTTTGTGTTCTTCAAGATTTGGTTATTCACATGAAAAGTAAGGAGATTCCTGTACAGAAGAAATCCTAAGAATATCTTCCTTTTATATAATCTTAAAGTTTAACGCATAGAGCTGCTACTACTTTCTATCCATTTGTTCCGTTCCTGTATTAGGTAGTATCAGTTCCTGTGGTAATAATTTATTTTTTTACTTGTTAGTTGGCTTTTTGCCGACTGCCTCCAACTAATTAACACTTATCAATGTGCACTGCGATGCTGACCCTCCTAGCGTGAAGGCTATATCACAGAAATGATCAACAGAATTCGGTCACTATTCAGAACTGCACAACATGAGATTGATTTCTTCCCAATGATCAATTAATATATCCTTCTTTAATTATTTTGACACTGACCAATTCAAAGAGGACAACCTCATAACGAAATTACCACTCTTAAAAGTAGTCAATCTAGTTAAGAAAGAAGTGAAAATCATATGACATAATCATCGGCTGATGATGGAAATACAGAAATTTTATATATTACCGTAGAATACTTGTATTGGCATCAGGTGGACTACACATTAAGTAAATCTCAAGTCCTCACTCAACACATTCAATAATAATTAGAAAACGTAAAATGAATGGTCAATTTTTTTTCTACTGTCTCCAAATAAATGATATATACTGATGACATAAAAAGTAAGTAGTACTTGTCTCGTATGTATCAATGTAATATTGATAATATGATCTAATTCATTCAACTTCCACCTGTCTACACGCTTTTAAAACGTCCCGAATACATGTCATAAATGGATAGTAATAGTAATCATAATAACGGTCGTACTAATGCCAATGTACGCACCTTCACATACACACACATACACACACACAGAGAGAAATGGATACATTAGAATTAAACCCCAAGCAATATTATTACTACTATTATCAATAATACTATTCAGCCGTTGCCAATTTATTACATATCATGTGCTCACAAAACAGTATATACAAGATCGGAAAACAATTACAGTATAGAACTATTTGGTGAAGATTTGTATGAATGCATATATATATATATATATATATATATATAAACAGGGAATGTGTACAGCTGGCTAACTAATATCCAGAGAGTTGATAAAATAAGCCCAAAGAAAAACATTCATTGTTGACCAATAAACAAATGAAATAAGAAAGTCATGTAAGTATCCCTAGAGATGTGAAAGTATATCAACCAAATAGGAAATAAATAAAAATAAGATTTATTAAGTTGTTGTGAAAATAAACAGTATTTTTTATATTGCTTTCATTCAAGTGAAAAGTGATTTTACGGAGACTACAAAAATATGTATAAGTACACGCCAAAGATTCTGTCCCACTGAATACTTAGAGCAAAAAGCGGGGTTAAAGTGATTTGGAATACATGATTAAATAAATGAAACTTGAGTTTTAAATGCTTTCAGCCGAAAGAAAATTGCTATCCCACTAAAAATTCAAAGAACCATCAACTGCTGCTTCCACGAAGAAAACAGTCATTGAGACATCTAAAGCTGTAGATACGTTTATCAATTACTATCTGGAAAGACAAAACTTAAGCCAAAAGCGTTCTGTCAAGTGGTTCAACCAAGATTACATCTAGTGAAATTCAGGAGCAAGTCTATGAGTCTTAGGACGAAATATCACTCAGACTTGATCGACAGAATTCAATAAGCCCATAAGACTGTAAAACATCATGTCGCTTATTCTTAAATGACTGAACAATACTTTTTACGATATATGTTATCCACGCGTACACCAAAGTCGTTCAACAAGGATTCTCTACTAGAACATTTCTTCATCTGTCATTTTCTGTTGAGAATTATTCGTATAGTGGGTGAACATTTGGCGTAGATTCTTTAAAAAGACCCTAAATCTCTGAAGTATACTGCAGGCAAACATCAAGTTCCGAGTTTTCAAGAAGAGATACTTGGTCGAATGCGTGAATATAAGACCCGTTGTGACCACTATGAATCAGATGCGACAAAGGAGAGCTTTACGGAGAATTGGTTTGTATTTTTGTCAGTCACACAATTAAATGTTCGTCAATACATTGGCTAAGTTGTAAGTTCCATGTAACTGTCTTCACAGAAGCAATGAAACTGACAAATAGGCATGGAATTAGCGGAACTCAGTAGCTTGTCCCTCGTTTGACTTAAAACACTTCGTCGACCAGTATATATTAGACAGAAATTACCTGCACAGAAAAAGTTACTTTTAATGACCCTCAGTAATTTGTGGGTTTGAGTTTGACTTGATATACTACGGCTTGATGAATAATATTTTCTGTTGAGCATTTCTTACCACAAGTTTTCTAACAACTTTGTTTTTATACTTTTTCAAAAATAAAGATGACCTATTTCGATCAGTGAATTGAAAACACATTCCAACTCCCAATGTAACTTACTGTTTAAACAGACTTTACTTGCTTTGGTCGTCAAGTGTTTTACAAGATTTCTCTCGTATCGCATAGGTATGGAACTAAAGAAAAATGTCTACTTACATGTTGATATGCTTCTTCTGTACACACTTCTATCGAACGAGTCACTTCCCCGTCTACTGGCTGGGCATCTGAACCTGTGAGGGTAGTGTGGCATTCGAATCTTCAACTTAATGAATGAGTGTTGCAAAACAGAGGTGAATAGTTAATCTAAATACTTTTACACTACACATACTATCTCCCTTTGTAGATAACTAGGAAAACACTAAAGTAAAAATGTAACACACAAAAAAAGACAACCATATCATATTCTATAAACAGATAATGATTTCAACCGTCTACATCTTAAAGCTCTGATAAGCCAGTTTCAGTCAATTAGTCAATTAGCTGATTACTACAATTTTACGGTTACTCTTTAAAAATTGGTAGTTGTGTATATAAGACTATTCCGCTAAATCCATTAGATCTCTGGGTAATTGTAAAGGCAAAAGGGAAGAAAAAATGAAAATAAAATAAACAGTTTAAGAGCACTTCACATAAAGAGTCACTTCATTTAAGGCAATAAATGAATTACATTATTGTAACAGACGAAAACACATTGATTAAAGTCAGATTCTCGTCTTAGAGATAAAGTAATAACTCTTTCTACGCACAATATTCCTTCACCGACATAAACTAACAACAAATCTAGAGACAACCTGAACTATGTATATGATATTGATGTGTTGTATTAACATAGTGTGAAATATTGACTAACCTCCTCAGGCTTCATTTTAAATTTCACGATACAACACCATAAATGTAACAGTGAATTTGAGTGAGCGACTCTAAAGATCATTCCAGCAATGACTGAACTAAGCAATGAGGTTTCTATGCTTCGAATGGTAGGGAAATATTTCAAAAAATCGAGAAACTTAATTGGTTATTTCAGTTGTCGTCAGAGTGACCAGTTAAAGTCACTTAATTCAGTACTGGGGTATATCGCACATTGAAACAGTCATGTCAACCGGATGACGTTTTAAGCTCAATTTATTTCTCGCATTCGTATAAATCAAGATAATCATATAACCTACTGGTTACGTTCTGTAGTTCTACTGTAATTCAATCCCTGGTTAAGTCGGTAGTAAAGCCTGCAACACATCCGGAATTAGTATTGCGTAATTCCTATTGTATGTGTGTCAGTTGATGGTTCGATAAACAAAGTCTTACCTATCAATCTCTGTCTACATATAAACTAGAAAGTTTTGTGGTTACCTTGATATGGTTACAAGCAATAAACTGCGCTCGAAACGTCATCCAGTAAGGGATTCATAGTAACAAATTATCTGAATTTATGGGATTATTATTGCAGCCGAAGATTCCTACGATTCAATTAATCTAACACCAAAACTGTCCGGTAGTACACAAAAAGGACTTCCAATATTCCTCACAAAATATGCTTTAAACTACCTTACAAATCGGAACAATTCGACCGTGTGTAGAAAGAGAGGAAATCACAAGCATCAATACAACTGATATCCCCGCACAGAAGATGGCTATCGTACCCCAGTAGCCTAGTAGATAACGTTTCGGCGCTTGAAGCGGTGAGTGATGGGTTCAAGTCTTCGTGGGGACAATACCACTCACTGGGATGCAGGCATATTAAGCTGACGAGTCCCAAATAGGACGAGACGAGCATCCTGGATTCTACTGCAAGTCACCAAGATGAATGGAACTAACGTTATTTTTCATATATCCACATATACTGTTGCACACATTTTATTCGTGTGAAATGTTGATTGAATAGTCCTTGTACTCAAAGTTTTAATTCTTGGGTCAAAGGTTCCACTCACACATTGAATCAAATGAATTCTAGAAAGCTGGATAGTGTAGCGTTGGCATATATATATATATATATATATATATATATATATATATATATATATATATAGCTGGTCCGGTAAGCAGTTTTTAAAACGTATATCATTTGGTAAACACTAATGATGAGAAACTATATAGAGAAAGTCATTTAAAACCCTTAAATTAAAAGTAATGTTTTATGAAAATATCAAATATAACTGACTGATCACCATAATGCATACCGTTAATTCCTTCATTTCTGAAAGCATTTAATGCTTCATTATATTCTAAATGAGCTTTCTTCCAACTATCCGAAGAAAGACTAGCCCTCAGTAAATTGGACCGGTCAGAATGTAAAGCGGATAATCCTGGCAGACGACATATGCTATCGATAATTTTCACTGCAACACCAATAGCTGTCATTGAAAAGAAAACAACAGAGAAACGTTTATTGACTTATCTACCGCTTAAACATGTAGGAAATACAACCGGCATATTAAAAATGTTCAGTCCTATGATAAAATCATGAGGAATGGTAATTCCTAAAGTATGTTATGTGAGTGATGCTTTGCTATTGGACTCTTAGCTACACGTATTCAAGTCTACGTCGAACAGTACTATTACCACAGCTAAGTAGTAACTGTACATCTTACAAAATAGATATTTTACAGTTTTTTAGACGAATAAACATACTATTAAGAAGCTATATTATTACCATTATAACTGATGGCTTTACAATAAATCTAACTAACTCTTTTCATATCCATTACTAGGAATAATCTTGATAAGACAAGAATAAAAATACTTCCGCTCGTCCACAAAAACAATATCAGATATTTTATGCGTTCTCTAACCAATACAGCACCTAAGAAACTATGTGCTAGTCAATGCACTAAGCCGCTAGTCAAATGTGTGTAATCCCTAACTTTTAAGGCTTAACAGAGGAAATGAACTCCAAAATTCTGATCCTAAGGTTTAAAATTCAGTAATAAAACCAATGAAACAAAACTCCGTTTAAACGATATTTTCGATATCACATGGACAATTCCAGAGCTCTTTTGTTATTTTCCAGAAAGATGTTTGATTTGAATTTTGGCGAAATAAGTTAGTAATGATAATGCTAGGAAGCTTAAATTTAAACTATTGTTTTTCGTTATTATAGGCTGCTCAGAAATATAATATAAACCTTAAAAAAGCACTTCTATATTTATCAACTTTTGTACTTCTTAAAAAGGGAATTGAACTTCAATTTGCTCAGTCGACTATCGACAGGTTACAGATAAATTATCTGTACTTATCCAAGAATTCGTCATCACTTCTGGCTTCAACTCAAAAGTGCGTATTTTCCTCACCTTTTGAAATAAGATTTGTGAACGGACCACATAAAAACTTCATTCTGTATATAACAGTGAGAAGACTGATAAGAGCATCCAGTTCACTGGATTTCATTTGATTGCTGTAGATTTTTATATGCTGAAAATCTTTATGCAGTATGGTGAACATTAGGCTGACAATAGGAGCTTCAAGTAATAAAAATGTATTTAGTCTACAGATCTTGTTCGTAGAAAGTATACGTTGCTGACTACCGAGAAATTCCATAATGTACACCTACCAAGTCGTTCAAAGACTTCATACACTTGACAGAGAGACAGTTTTCAAGCATCGAATAAACAATAACCACTTGATCGCTTATAGTGAAGCGAGCGGGGCAAAACTTATCGAATCATAGTCTTCTCGCTTAAATAAAAATCACTTCAAAATCTCCAAAACGTCACTTATCCTCCAGCACCTTTCTTAAGACAAAACTTTACATATCAATCATCTAAGATTGCTTAAATTATCGACAGGAATTTCCGTGTTCATGACAGATAAACATGAGTCTGAATGTATTCAATATAGACTTAAAAGGTAGATAAGTTAGTTTTATCAATTTCATTCGGTTGAACGTTATCCCGGATCCCATCCTTTGTCTATTCATGCAATACTTTTTTCTCAGATATCACTTTGTCTCTTCCTGTCAACTAAAAGTGTAATTTGGATACACAAAACCTAAAAGCGGTGATAGTGAAAATGATTTTTAAAAAGTGAAAACCCAACAAATCTACACTTCTATCAATGATTATCACTACTTTTTTTATATTACTATTATTATTGTTATAAATCCCCGAATGAAACAAAATAGGAAATGAAGATTAAAGTGAATAACTCCGTTGACATACTGAGCAAACAGTTTGCCCACTTTTCTAGTGTCTTTTTCTATTCCTCATCTACTTACCATTCTGAACATCTTCCTTGTTAAACTCAAGTTGAAATATAAACATACAAATCTAAAGCTGCTTAACAAACAACAACAATAATAGAGAAAAATAAGAGGAGGACTAAGCCGTAGGACAGAAGTGATTATAAGAAGTTTCAGTGATAAATAGGCAAAAAAATGGATAACCATTCACGTAGCTATATTACTATTATTATTATTATTATTATTATTATTATTATTATTATTATTATTATTATTAGATTGCATAGGTATTTCTGGTTACACTAGGCTGTTGGAGAGGTTCATTCTGAGAAAATGACTTTCAAACAGATAAACTACTTATTCAAAAATATGTAATTGCTCAGTGCATTACGCTTTGTCAAACAGTTAAACCGTTTTTTTTCTTACAGGAGAATAAAAGTTTTCTAGATATTAGAGTGAAATTAGAAAGAAATGATGGGTATTGATTTCGGGCTAAAAAGTACTTATCAAATATCGGTAACAGTCACACAGGATGTTAGAATGCTAATAGGAACAATACTGTGAATTGGATTCATCGACAGTCAAGTTGCATGATTTCGCATGCACTACCACTGAACACTTTCTCCACGCACCGAACACACTCTCTCCAAACTGTCAACTGGAGAGTCGATAATCTACTCCGATATTGTCACCCAGACGACAACCACGAGCACACTGGGTTTTGGAGTGACTATTATGATGCCCCCAACAGTATCAGAGGCTCATTATGCAGTGGGAACTAGTCTCCTCCTGCAGGATCAACGTTCATGACAGCAAGATTCAACTCAAAAGGAGAGAAAGTTACAAGCACAAAATGATACGCTACGCACATACAAATAATACAGATTAAGAGAAGAAGGGATTCTACAGACAACTGAAATCAGTACTAAACAAGACTACAGTCGGCAACATCAAAAGTTATAATGCGTGGGGTGACATGAATGCCAAACTGGGAGCGGACAACATAGGAGGAGAACTCATCATGAGTCAAGAAGCACTCGGTGAAATGAATGAGAACGGAGAACTGTCCGCAGACTTCTGCGCATTCAACGACTTGGTGATTGGAAGCAGTGTGTACAAACACAAGGACATTCACAAAGCGACATGGACTTCACCAGATGGACACACTAAAAAATCGGATCGACTTCATCTCAATGTGAAGAAAGTAGAGATGGAGATGCAGCCTACTGGATGTAAGATGAGATCAAGAAGGAGAGCAGATGTAGGTTCAGACCACTCACTATCTACCTCCAAAGTCAAGTTGAAAGCCTTCAAAGAAGTTGGTGACCGAACAAAGTTCAAGTTGAACACCCAGAACAGAAAGTGAACTGAAGGACGAAACAACAAAGAACATCTTCATGTCAGTCATCCATCAGGACAAAATATGCAACATTTCCGAAGAAACCTGCATGCAAGAACACTCAAACCCTTTGAAATCAACGTGGAAGGAAACCTGCATAAGAGTGTTAGGAAGGAAGTAGCAAGACAAAGAATGAATCTCCATGGGCACATGGAAGCTGGTAGGGGAAGAAGAGTAAGGTAGTGAAGCAGAAGATAAAACAGTGCATGGATGGACAACGAAAAGAGGAACTGAACACAACCTATAAAACACTACACTGGACAAAGAGGTGAGGAAGAGTGCACAGAAAGACAAAAGATACGTCTACGACACACTTGCAAGTGAAGCAGAACAGGCTGCAGGTAGGAGAGACATAGATCTGACCTAAGTCTTTGGAAGAACAAGAAATATCCACCCCAAGCAAAATAAAATATGAGCCGCATCATCCTGGAAAGACTAAACAAAAAATGTTCTGGATTTAAAATTACGAGCAGTCGATAGCGTCTACCGAAAAGTAATTTGGAAACTGCTTCAACAGTACGGTTTCAGTGCCACAAACATTTACCAGCCTTACTCAACAGCTATATGACAACACCACATGCCAAGTGATTCACAATGGAAATCTCAACGATGCCTTTGGAGTGGAAGTCAAGACAGGAGTAAGACAAGGTTGCCGCTTACTATCACCGATGATCTTCCTGATTGGGGTCGACTGGACTGGATTATGCGACAAACTGTGAGGAGCGAGAAGATGGGAATACGCTGGCTGGGCCGATGAGAAGACAGTAAAATATTTGGATTTCGCCCACGATGATGATTTACGTCCGATGCTTTGTCGCATAAACTCGAAGATCTACAGACAAAAACCAACAAGTTGACAGAAGAGGCGAGTCAGCGAAGGAAGATGGGACTTCTTTCAAGTGAATGTAGAAAAGACAAAGATTATGAAGGTACCCAACCAACAACAGCATCAGAAACAAGCACTAATCACCACCAACAGGAGAAATAAATCTAAAGGAAGTTGTCTCATTTACCTACCCTCCTAGGCAGCATCGTTTCATCTACAGGCGGCGGCACAGATGAGGATGTCAAAGCCACGATCGGAAAGACAGCAAAACAGGCCTTCGTCAATCTGAAACCAGTGTAGAGATATACTGCACTCAACATAAAGCGTGAACAAGATCCGTATTTTTAACACCATTGTCAAGTCAGTGCTTCTATGTGATGGTTCAGAAACTTGACGCATCACGAAAAACCTTTCCAACAGACTACAGACATTCATCAACAACTGCAATCTACGCTCACTCGATACTGACACTGAAGATCAGATGGCCAGAAAGAATAATCAACAAGGAACTCACTGTGTCTGACAACGAACCAACCAAGAAACCATCCCCCAACAAATATGCAGAAGAAAAAGGAGATGGATTGGTTTGGACATACACTGAGAAAACCATTCGGGGACATCACGCCCTCGAGTGTAACCCGCATAGGAAACGACGAGTTGGGCGTCTCCGCTGAGGATGACATGGTGAAGATCGTGTGAGAAAGAAAAGAAAGTTTCTGGGCAGCCGGGGAGCCAAGTTCAAAAGACTGCAGAGAATAGAGTGAAATAGAGACGTGCTACTGCAGCCTTATGTTCTACTAGGAACCCAAAGGACGAATGAATAATAATACCACTGAACACCGATCTTAAACACACAGAAATACAGTGTCCTTTCACACTACAAACGTGACTCACAGTGGAGTACATACTCATGTGCCCCCGTAAAGCTGTGGTTAACTGGCTTGAACATTTG